CCACCCATAAACATCAAATAAACAATCAATACCAGAGAAATAGCAAGTGGGTTAACGGTTCTTTCAAATTCGGTACTCTGGAAAAAAATAATCGTATTTTGTTATTTATACCATATACATTATGGAACTTACTAATGATATTAATTTTTCTCCTTTTTTTTCTCATTTGACTAGTGGTGGAGTGGGAGCAACTTTAAATATTGTTAAATTGACGTCGAATTTTATGAGTGAGATATATATGTCGCAGCAAACGAGCTTAATTAGACATTTAGTTAACAGCCTTTTCTGTGTTTCATAATCTTTTTCCTTAACTGCGCCGATCAACTAGCGCCACGAATGATGTTCAATCGATGCTACTAATACAACAATGCACCTATCCACATATCTTGTAATATCAGCGACAGTATGTGGCTGGGATGGCCGTTGGGCCATGTTACCTACAGCCGCCTACACTTATATAATCATTTTTTTATAGAATAAGGATGACAAACGAGCACTCAGTGCACGTGATGGTAAGTGGCTACAGTGACCCATACAAATATACATTTATCATCGATTAAAAATCAAAATGCAGATTCGTTGTCACCCCTGAGTAGGAACCGAAACCGAAGGAATAAAAGGCACGCGCGGCCGACGCGCAGGCTCTCTTCCCGTCGCGCTCGTCGTTGGCCCCACACGGCTTAAGACAATAGCGTCATAGAAGGGCTATTGCGCACGCGCACCGTTAGTATAACCGCTTTAGCCTGGAAGCAGTCGAGCTCCAGGAAACCCGCCTCACCTCGTGTGAGAAATAGTCGCGCACCGCACTCTCTCCCGACGCACCACCGGACAAGAAAGCATCTCTGGGGCCCCAGAGTGTCTTCCAGAGGTCGCAGCGCAGCAACATAACATAGTGCCCAAGCCGCATAGAAGCAACACCCCGGTGAGTGAACATTCCTACTAGTTCCTGCTTGATATAATTGCGTTTAATAGTTAATCCGCTCCAATTTTCATTTTCTCCTAATCAAGCAGGATTCCTTTCATAAATTTGGCAAATAATAGGTCGTTTAGGGAAGAGCGAGTGCATTGTATGGGAAACCACGTGCTATAGTCGCCATTTTGTGTAAACGAAGAAGCATTTCGCATATACAGTCCATTTAGGTTTAACATCTCGCGTAATAGGCTCAAGGCTCGACCGGGGAATTGGACTTCGGTAACCTTAGGCTCGTCGCTCCACTAGGTTCTCTACACTCACCATACGAAACACAGGCATTAGCATTAACCTGCTATTTCACGCTGGTATACTGAAAGAGCATGGTGCTACGTCATTCGAGCTGACCCATTCGTGTTAGAGCCATAATATAGCTGCAGCGTGGCTCTAACACTCTGAATGTATTGACACATAATATAGCACAAAGTGCATAATTTGGCACAGACCAGCTACAGCCTCGTCGACGAAATTAATAGAGTGCCCATGCCATATAATGCCATGAATTGGGTTTATTGACTTTTTCCACTTCAGTAACACAGTATTATTTAACCAAAACTGGATATACCTACTTCGTATTTATCAGTTTTTCCATTTTCAAACAAATCTAAACGACTTAACTGACGCATCTGTTTACAGTAGCAGACTATTCTTGCTCAAATGTAATTGTACTTACAATTAATTTTGTTGAATCATTTATTTCCGCAAGTTGTTTAACTACGAAAACTGAGGACTTTCTCCTATTTTTTATAAAACTGTAATGAGAAACAGACTTACAGTTCCCCTGATGGGAAGTGTCTACTGCAGTCCATGAACACATACAGTCAACTTTGGCGGCTCCGTGGCGCAGTGGCTTAGCAATGAGTTACAACGCTAAGGGCCGCGGGTTCGAATCCCGCACGGAGCAAGTACTTACTACAAGTAATTGTTCCGGGTCTGGATGTTTGTCCTTGTGCAATTTATGTTTGTAAAACTACCCTCATGGTACAGGAGAAAATCCTAGTGCGGAGGTAATGTTTAAGAAAAGAGAACTTCTAAGAAAGGAGGCTACAGATGCGTTTTCCCCGCTGTGAACTAAGATGGAATTTATCACAGCCTGTAATTGTATTGACCCATGCCCTTCAGACCGGAACGCAGCAGTTGAACTGCTGCGTTCCGGTCTGCTGCTACTGCTACTGCTTTAAGGCGGTATGAAGTAGAAATAGCTGGTGGTACTTACGCAGACGGACTTCTAGGGGGGATGGGGATTCGAAAAAAAATTGAATTAGCAAATGCTGTGGCCCATAGATATCTCCAGATATATACCTCGATTAAGAATCAAAATACAGATGCGGTGTCACCCCTGAGGACTGAGATGGCTCGTTTCCAGTAAAAAGATTCTCCGGTTCTCTACACTCACTACAACAAAACACAGCAGCATTGATCTACGTTGGTATTCTGTGATAGCGTGACGTTTCCCCGGTCGAGCCAAAACAATCATGCAACAACCATAATATAGCTGCAACATGGCTCTACGACGTAAATATCTTGGTACTTGGTACTTGGTTTAGTAACCGCCAAGCCTGCCCGGCGTCACAATTAAGGCAAACCCTCCTTATAGCAGGAGGGCCTATGTCTAGCTATATACTTATACGCAATGCTGACGAAGACGATGATATTTATTATAAGAATAAATTTGACAAAGGCAAGTTACATTTCAATACTTCATCTTACAATTAATACAATTTCTTTTGATCTGTTTCGACTTTTCGACTCCACAAAATTTCTCTGCTAGACCACCAATAATCAATCTTTTGGACAAACGTTTGAAATCTGGTAGCTCAGAGCTAGGACATTCACACATTTGTAACCTTGAGTTTTCCTAGAATCTGTTACCAACAATTCAGAAGAAAATAAGCTACTAACAGCGAAAATTAATATACATATAAAAGTAAAGGTAGTACATATATAAAGTATGATAAAGTACCAAGTGTTGAGTAATGAAGGTAACCATCGTGAGGAAAGCTGCATGACTGAGGAAAAACATTTCGAAGCCATGTGATTTCCGCTAACTAACACTGGCACTGGAGCAGTGCGGCCAACTTATTACTCCATAAACTCGCCTATGCCAAATAGTAGGCCGTATAGGCTTTTTTTATCTATCATCTGCAGATCAACAGCATTTTGTTACATTATAAAGCTTAGTAATTAAATATTAATATTATCTACTGCCAATTACAAGTTCTTACTTAATATTAAAAAAAATCTTATAACATGTCGCTAGAACTGTGTGGATAAGATAAATAAATAACATTTACATATTTGAAGATATTCCAAAATATTTAAAGATAGGTACTTATTCAACACATTCCACACAACTATTAGTTCTACACAACTTTTACTTTACTATTTCACTTTAAACAACTAGTTTGAGAACAAAAATCTAACAAAAAAGCAAGCCTAAAATAATTCCACCGTTTACCTCGATAAGATCCCTCATCACGCATCGAACTCGAAACACAATTATCGACTTCCGAAAACTTAAATAAAACAGTAACAATGAAATATTATTTCTGGAGACTGTCTCGAATCTCATCAATTAATAAATATATTAATCTTTTTTGTACACAAATGCATATAAAAACAATAACAGAATGAAATATATATAACACACAATAGGCTGTCTTATCGCATTAAAAGCGATTTTGTTCAGAAAACCTTATTAAACAAAAACTTATCCGTTATAGCATATTAAAATTTACTGCCGAACGTAGGCCTCCCCCATAGATACCTTCATAAGGGGGATATGCCACGCTGCACAAGCGGGTTGGCAATCATAGTTTTTTTTTAGTCGTAATTATGTTTTTTTTTTTATAGAAGAAGGGGCAAACGAGCATGCGGCTCACCTGATGTTAAGTGACCGCCGCCGCCCATGATCAACCGCAACACCAGGGGAATTGCAGGTGCGTTGCCGGTCCTTTAGAAAGGAGTAAGCTCTTTTCTTGAAGGTCCCCAGGTCGTATCGGTCCGGAAAAATCGCCGGTGGTAAACTATTCCACAGAGAGGTCGTACGCGGAAGAAAACTCCTTGTGAAACGTACAGTGGTAGACCGCCAAGCATCCAGATGGTGTGGATGGTATCGGGAAGCTTGTCGCGTAATGCGTTCACGAAATTTGGCGGCTGGGATTAATCCGAACAATTCCTCAGAGCACTCCCCATGGTATATGCGAAAGAAAATGCAAAGAGATACAACATCTCTTCGCAGCGCCAGTAAATCGAGCCGATCGGAAAGCACTCAGTCGTCGACGATTCGAGCCGCTCTGCGCTGGATGCGGTCAAGTGGATGGAACTGGTACTGGGGAGCCTCAGCCCAGAGATGGGAACAGTATTCCATGTGCGGCCGGACCTGCGCCTTGTAAAGTTGCAGGCGGTGTGCCGGCATGAAATACTTTCCTGCTCTGCTGAGCACGTCAAGCTTTTTATTTATTTATGTATTAACAATTATGAGCAATTTCATCATTAATATTGATTCACTGTATGGGTGACTTCAACACCGAGGAAAAGCCCTCGGTTTAACGCAGAACTGAAGTAGTCCAGCGGTTAAGCGCTCCCTGTAAATTTTCTAATAATACTAGCTTGCCGGGCAGATGTTGTTCTGCTCTTTTCGACGACCGTTTGTCATGTCCTATTAACCCTCCGTGCACCAGGTGGGGTTTAATAAACCCCAGCCCTTGAAATATCGCAATAACTTTAAAACTGTGAACCCGCCACCGCTCGAATTCTCATTAGCTGGAATTGCGACGTTGCCGCTCCGACTCGCGCAGGTATTAGGTTCTGTGGACTCGCGTCGACGAGTCAGTCCGGCGACCACCGCCAAGCGAGCTACACGCCCTTAAAGTGCATGTGGGTGTCACACACCCCACCTTGTACGGCTCGTTGACAAAAAAAGTAAGCATTCTATTTGATGTTTTTTTAACCTTTATGTGTTTAATTTATGTATGTTCAGAATTTTATATGGATTTTTATTTATTACAGATTTATAGTTACATGAAAAATGACCCACGTGAAAGGTAATGATATTTTAAAAGCACTTTTGGACGAAGGAGATGACTTCGAAGTAGAATCCGGGTGGGAACCGGGCTTTGAAGTGGAATCAGAACACTTGAGCGTTCATAGTGATATTAACAGCGAAGTGGATGCAGAAATTCTTTCTTCCGAGTTTGAGAGCGACGACGAAATACCCCAATCAGAGGTTCGCGCGTCGAGACAAAGTTATTATACTGGCAAAGATAAGACAACAAAGTGGCAAAAAGAACCATTCAGAAGCAATGTTCGTAGTAGAGCAGAAAATATTATTACTCATTTGCCTGGTGTGAAAACAGCTGCAAGGGGTAAGTTGTCACCTCTTGAGTGTTTTGAACTATTTATTTCCGATGCTATGACAGATGAAATTGTGAATTGCACTAATGAGAAAATACTCTCCCGACCAACTGGTGATCCTCAACAGTCACAAGCTACAAAGGAGGAAATAAAAGCCATTTACGGTTTACTTTTCCTATCAGGTTTGGCTCGTTCTGGACGTCAAAGTACAATTGATTTATGGGCTACTGATGGGACAGGAATGGATATTTTAGAGACACTATGAGTAGAAATAGATTTGCTTTCTTAATGAATAATTTGAGGTTTGATAGCGCAGCAACACGAAACGAGAGATTTAAGACTGATAAACTAGCTCCAATAAGAAATCTTTTTGAAAACTTTATAAAAAACAGTCAAGATGCTTACATTCCGTTCGAAAACCTAACATTAGATGAGGAATTGGTTGCTTTCGGAGGTGGATGTGGATTCCGCCAGTATATTCCGTCAAAACCAGCAAAGTACGGAATAAAAATATATTCTTTAGTTGACAATAAAACATATTATACTTTGAATATGGAAATATACTGTGGAAAGCAGCCCGAAAGTAGCCCTTTTTCTGTCAGTAACAAGCCTTACGATGTGGTTGATCGTCTAGTCCAATGTGTATATCAGTCTTCTCGGAACATTACAATTGATAATTACTTCACTAGCTATGAAAGCACAGAAAATTTGCTCCAAAACCATAAGCTCACTGTTGTCGGAACTTTGCGCGCCAATAAGGCGTGTATTCCTCCAGTTTTCAAGTAACATCGTGAAGTAAATAAATCTCTATTTGGATTTCAAAAGAATATAACGATTTTATCCTATGTACCAAAGCCACGTAAGATGGTATATCTGATGTCTTCACTGCACCATGACCGAGAAATAGATTCGGAAACCGGAAGTAAACAAAAACCTGCAATGATAACATTTTATAATAAGACCAAAAGTGGCGTAGATGTGGTGGATAAATTATGTTGAACTTACGACGTTTCCAGAAATTATAAACGATGGCTGCTAACTATATTTTTCGCGCTGCTAAACCACGGAGGTATAAATGGATGATTGTCCATATATTCAACAATGGCATTGAAAGAAATAAAAACAATCTGAGAAGTAAATTCATCCGAGAATTGGGTATATCTTTGATAAAAGGCCACCTTAACACCAGAAGGCAAAACCAAAAGCTGCCAAGAGACCCTCGTAACAGAATTGCTAAGTATTTTCCTAACCTACCTGAAAATTTGCAAGTTGCCCCAGGAACAAATATCGTAAAACAAAATATACGTGTAAAAAATGTTATGTGCCAATATGTATGGAGCACACTGATTTTTTTTGTCAAGACTGTGGTCGCTTGGACGACAATGATCTCAATTAAAATGTACCTCTATTGTGTTCAATTTATGTTAAATTATAAGGAAATATACTGTAGTTTGTTAATTAAACATTATTCTAATAATTAAACGTGCCATTTAAAATTAGTATATATAAGAAAGTAACTGTTATGATAAGTGAATCACAGAAGTTGTGTTTTTTTGTTCTTTTATAAAAATAAATATTTTACTACATACTTTTTAACCGGTCTTTAACTTAACAAGAACCTAATTATTACAGTGTGTTTATAAATACCTAATAATAAAATTCACGAAAAACATAAAAAATATGTCAATTTTACCATTTTTTAATTTGGGATTTGTCACATCCCACCTAGTATAGGACGAGACTTTTAGTTACCTGGTGCACGGAGGGTTAAAAGTCCTTAAATTAGCAAAAAAATTGTGGATCACTCAGGGGCAAATATCCTATCTCTCAAGTTGGACCAAACTGCACCCCGCGTGCAAATTCGATTAAAATCGGTTAAGTAGTTTAGGATTCCATCGCGGACAAACAACGTGACACGTAATTTATATATATTAAGATTTTCGTTTAACAACTTTTTTTAAAGTTACGACCTTAAATATAATTTAAAATCCAATAAAACTTTTAAGACAAATATTAGTGGCGAGTTTTCTGACCCCATCATTATACTTTGATTTAAAGCTTTATAATTTTATGTATATATATATATATATATAAATTTTAAAGCGACAGTAGCCTAATGGCAGGGTGCGGACCGCGAACTTAAAAAGTTCGTGGGTTCGAATCCGCCATTCTACTACTGGCGTGAACCACTCGTAACACATGCAATTTAAGCTTACCACGAGTGGTTAAGGGGAATATTAGTGATGTTTATAGCATTGTTAATATTCTTTAAATTTTTTTTTTTTTTTTATATATTTATATATATAATTTTATGTATATGTATATAATTTAGTACTTCAGGTTGGGGTCATTCATTTACCTACTCCATCTCCAAATAAGAGTATCAAACTGCGGCGTTATTGTACTATGAGAACGCGAAAACAGAGATACTTATTATAATTAATTATTTTTATAAATTTGAAGTGACAAATGAACTTACAATCCGTCGTTACTGCAGTCCGTGGGTACTATCAGGTAACTTCAAACAAAGAAAGCACATACGCGATGCGTTCTCTAAAAACTAAGTCGGAATGTTTCATAGCCTTTGATTATACTGACGGTCTGTACCCTTTGGAACACAGGAGTGCAGGCACTGCTATTTAGTGACAATAATTATAATATACAAAGTGAATATACGAAGTCGTAACAATCAGACGTAAGAATCTAATCAATAAAATAAAATAAAAAATGAATGATTGAAAAAAGAATGATATAAAATCAAAATAAAATAAAAACGGACAAAAAGAATCATTTAGCAGCAGGTGGGATTGTGGTCTAGCACTTAACATCATCATCTTTACAGCCCTTAACAAGTCCACCGCTGAACATAGGCCTCCCCCAAGGAATGCCACAAAGCACGGACCTTAGCCACCTGCATCCATCGACTCTCCAGCTCGGCCGTCACTCCATCTAGTGGGGGGTTGCCCTACACTTAACGCACCGGTACGAGGCTGCCACTCAAGAACCTTTTTTCCTATTGGTTGTCGGTTCTTAGAGCTATATGGCCGACCCGTTGCCACTTCAGCTTACTAATCCGTTAGGCTATGTCGGTCACTCTGGTTCTACTGCAGATATACTTATGTCTAAGTTTATCACGCAGAGAAACCCCGAGCATAGCCCTCACCATAGCTCGCTGAGCAACCTTGAGCGTCCTCATACGGCCACCAGTGAAGGACAGGCTTATAACAAGTTAAAAAAATGGTAGTCCTGATTGTTTCATTCAAAATATGGTAACCCTAACAGGAAAGGGACTAGCTAGAGTGCTTTCAGTTGTACAAAGTCCCGGTCCTTAGAGAAATCTCAATAAATGATTTTACGAATTTAAATAAATCGAGAAGTTTTGTATTTTACCTTTGCCGTTTGTGTTTGTCAAAGTTTCAATGTCGAAGTTTGTGAGGTACGAATTATGTAAGTTTGCTATTGGTTTAACTGGCTGTATCTGTGATTATGTTCTTGTGACCCTTCATCAATATCGTTTAGAGTACATGACAGGTCTACTGCGATTCTTTGGCCTCGCCACAAAAAGAGAAAATTTTAAATGGGTCACCTCAACCGGGTAAGGACTACGCTCTTACAGAAAACCGGCGTGAAATTGTAGCTTAATGCTTATAAATTTTTAATGTGTTTAGTATGGTTAGTGTAGAGAACCGCAGACCCTTTATACTGAAAACGAAGCATTCCATCTTAGTTCTAAAGGGTGACAACACATTTTGATTCTTAATCAAGTATTAATTATATATGAGCCACAGCATCCACTTACCATCAGGTAGACTTTGCCACGCACAATCTTTAAAAAAAAACACCTTTATCATTCTCTATGGTGTAAGCTTTCTCGTAGCCAAAGATCATAAAGTTCGTTTCTGCGGTCTAGCCGTGAAAAGGTAACAAACATACAAACACACTTTCTTCTGATTAGTAAAGATGCCCACAGAATATTGTACTAGGTAATCATGATACTTAGAGGGTTGTAAAAGGATGTCTATAACAATAGCGGATTTTTTCTTCTTTTTTTAATATTAGAAACGAGCTAACAGTGATCGTGCCGTGGCGGTGTAAGAATATCCACTACACCATATCGTCCCGGAGGTGGCGTAAGAGGCGACGGATGGAAACAATCCAGGAGACGGGCAGCAGCGTCTTCTTAATAACCCGCCAGCTAAGCGTGGCAACTGTGGCAAATACTCCCTCTATTAGGCAATCTTGGGGGAGACTTCGATAGACTGTAACAGTAGCAGTGACAGACGGCAAATGACACCTTAAGTCGAAGAAGGTCAGAAATGCGCTGTCACCCCTGAGAACTTCGATGAAATGTCTTAGGTACAGTTTTATTTATAGATATGATTTCCCGGTCTCAAAGATGACATTAGTTTTAATTACACAATTTCCCTAAAGTCAACAACGAATCGGATTTTTTTCGGACGTTTTTTTTTTCTTTTTAATAAAAAACTTTTCTTTCGTTTCTTTAGTTTTATTACCTTTAAGAAAGAATGATTAATCTGTACTCTATTATTATATTATATAATCTATTACTTATAATGTTATGAGATACGCGGCATCAATGTTAATAAAGTATATTATGCACGGTGCTGAACGACCTGCATGTCTGATCAGGTCAATTCCTCCAACTAGTGCACTTGCTAGTACGAGGCTCCCACACGTGAACTTTTATTTCCTTGGTTGACTGTTCCGTTGGTCAAATGGTTAACGCAATCAGACCAAAATTTGTTAATGGGTTCTTCAGTCAAGATAATCTTAGAAGCAGCCCGGAGGCAGGTAGTTGGTGTTATTTCTCCCCCGTACCTCGGAAAGCACGTAAAGTTGTTAGTCCTGCGAGTCTGATCTCTTTCTGGTCGTGTCGGATTGCTGTTTCATCAGACTATGAAAGTAAGGGAATAGAGTGCACCTGCGCTTGAGCGTACATTCGGTGGTTATGGTTGTTGCACGAACGGGTCGGCTCAACCGAGGAAGGACCACAGGTGGACTGTGTGCTCGTTTGTAACCAATATAATATTTAAAAAAAAAACACTATTAACTTTGTGAAGGATTGCAAAATAATGATGAGTAGTTTAAATTAAAAATTATGTTTCTTCATTTTTTCATTTTCATGCGCTCGCTGTAAATTTCACAATACGCGAGCAAACCG